ATTTGGCATAGGAATAAGATAATATAAAAAAAATAGAGAAACATGGAAAATAAGTAAATTGGCGGCGCAAAAGTACTCGTCACCTCATATATACGCCGCTCACATGAATTTCACTTAGCAAATAATCTAAAGTTCCTAATTCCCTCAAGTCAGGGTTACACAACACTTACCTCGCTCCGAATGCCACTTAATTACCAATCATAGCTTTTTCTTTGAAATTCACCTCCAAACCACTCGTATCTATTCAAAAATGACTCAATAATATCAAATATTGCTAAAGGAATCAATTATATTGCATAAATTAAATTTTTCAAATTTTCCTCCAAAAAGTCGAAAAATCGACCCCGGGCCCGCTTGGTCAAAACCCGAGGTTCAGACCAAAATTCTTTTACCCATTCACCCCCGAGCACGAATATGTAATTAGTTTTGGAATCCGACCTCAAATTGAGGTCTAAATCCCCAAATTCCCGAAATCCCTATTTTCTACCCTAACCCCTAATTCTACAATGAAAACTCTAGATTTCAGGTTGAAACTTCAAGAAATGTAATGGGTAATTGAAAGAAGATGGTTTAGAATCACTTACCAACAATTTGGGGAAGGAATGACTCTTGAAAAATCGCCCCTCACCGTTTGGTTTGATGTAAAATCTGGTTATTGGCAGATTCAAATATTTAAAGAGCATAATTATAGAACTGCTTTTAATGTTCCATTCGGGCAATATGAATGGAATGTTATGCCTTTTGGTTTGAAAAATGCCCCTTCTGAATTTCAGAAACTAATGAATGATATTTTTAATCCATATTTAGATTTTATCATCATTTATATTGATGACATATTAGTATTTTCTAAAATATTTGAAATGCATATTAAGCATCTTGATATTTTTAAAAAGATTGTTATATAAAATGGTTTAGTTATTTCCAAATCAAAAATGAGTTTATTTCAAACAGATGTTTGATTTTTAGGACATAATATTTGTCAACGAAAAATTACTCATATTCAAAGATCGATTGATTTTGCATCAAAATTTCCTGATGTTATTACTGACAGAACTCAATTACAAAGATTTTTGGGAAGTTTAAATTATATATCCCCATTCTATAAAAATTTATCTCGTGATTTGGCCCCATTATACGACTGGCTAAAAAAGAATTATAAAAAACCTTGGACTGATAGTCATACTACTTTGGTTAAAAATATTAAACAACGTGTTAAGTCTTTACCTTGTTTAAATCTTGCTAATCCAGCATGACAAAAAATTATTGAGACAGATGCATCTAATATTGGCTATGGTGGGATTTTAAAACAAGTTAATCCCAATAATAATTGTGAATATTTGATAAGAGTTTACTCGGGAAAATGGACTGAAGCCCAGAAAAAATATGCTACTGTGGCTCATGAAATGTTGACTATTGTTAAATGTGTTTTAAAATTTCAGGATGATTTATACAATCAAATGTTTTTAATAAAAACTGATGCTCAATCTGTTAAATATATGTTTAACAAAGATTTTAAACATGATGCTTCAAAATTAATATTTGCAAGATGGCAGGCTCAATTAGCCCATTTTGATTTCGAAATTCAGTATAAAAAGGGAATTGATAACTCTCTTCCTGATTTCTTATCCCGTGAATACTTAAATTAATCATGAATTTCTATAAAACTTTTCTAGAAGAAAAAACTTTAATCACTATTTTGAAAGTGGTTAAGTTATATAGAGATTTACAAAGTCTTATAATTGATAAAATTATTGATAATATCGTCGAAGAAGAATTTTCTATTCATAATTATTCTGAAAAAGTTAGAGATGATATGGAAGACTATTATTTATCTGAATAAAATAAATTATTATATTTGCAGTATGGACCCTCCGTGGGGCAGAGGCAGAGGCAGAGGCAGAGGGGGAAGATCATCCCTAGGAAAATCATATTTTCAAGGATCGTCATATGGATCCTCATCTAACTCTCCAGTGATACAAATGGGAAAAAAGAGTTTAATTAATGAGAAGATATCTCTCAAAGGCGAATCTTCGTCAACTCCTTCTATTCATCTGGAAGATATTCCAGAGGACAGCCCATTATACCGTCATCTGCAGACATATTTAGCTGCTCAAAAGCAAAGTGATACATTTGCTTCAATTGCCAAAGAGGACACTGATGATATAAAGTCCTATGAAAAATTGCTTAAAAAAGAAATGATATTTCTTTTAGAAAATTCTGAGATACAGAGAAAATATCAGTCATAGAAGATATTCCAAAGGTATTTTATTAATGGATTATATTATCCGGGTGAGTCNGCAAAGTGATACATTTGCTTCAATTTCCAAAGAGGACACTGATGGTATAAAGTCCTATGAAAAATTGCTTAAAAAAGAAATGATATTTCTTTTAGAAAATTCTGAGATACAGAGAAAAGATGAGCCGTGGAAGATATTCCAAAGGTATTTGATTAATGGATTATATTAACCGGGTGAGTCATACAAAACCCGTTCTTATTATGAGACTATTCTCACAAGTACAGGCAGTGCAGAATTTCAGTACTTTTCCGATTATAGCACGAACGAGAATGTTTATAACTTCTCAAAAATTATTATTAAACGGATTATATCTGTTGAAGATTGGGGGATTCCACAATGAAAGAAAGGCAGATAAGCCTTAACAAAACTCGTATGAATTTTATATATTGAGATTATATCCAAGCCTTTGATAAAGTGCTTTATTATAATAATGAGAGACATAAACATACTTGGTTCATAAAGGTATGTGCAAAGATATTTGCAGGACCCATTCCTAATTGGTTCTTAAATTGGTTGTCATACCATGGTCCAACAGTCAGAATATTACCTGACCCATTTCTCATGTTATACAAAGAATGGACTAAAGTTTCTCTAGATTTGAATGAGTTATACCACGCAGATCATATATGCTATTTAGAAAAAATTGACCAAATATATTTTTTTTATAGAGTTCTCTAGTCCATGGATTCATAAATGGACTCTAGAGCTGGGATTCACTGAAGAACAAATTCCTTGCTTATATAGGATATTTTATAATAATTTCTGGGATAAATTGATGAAAAATGATCCCAAAACAAAAATGTTATACGGTCAAGAACTCTTGGATTCTATTGAAGCAAAAATCCAAGAATACTCAACAACTCCCCAGAAGGGAATAATTGATGATAGCTCAGTCAAGCATATTGCTAGAAGAATCTCTGTTCAAGAAGGAAATAAGAATGAAATGATTAATAAGTATTTGGAAGAAGTAAAAAGAAACTTACTGCAATCAATTAACCAGTATGAAAAATCTGACACTTCGATGCGGAGTGAAACAAGCAACGATGATATTGCAGAAGATTCCCAGCCTATTCAATCATAGAAGATATTATCTGATGAAGCCGTAGAAAATGCGGAAGATTTCATCCAACGGATGAAAGAATTAGAGAGACGTGGACTGTGATCAACAGTGAAGCCGCCGAGGATCCCACTCAACAGTAGATACATTGTTTACACAGTAGAAACACTGTATACATAGTAGTTACACTGTATACATAGTAAATACACTGTGTAAGGGACCCACATATGGGACCCACTTTCCTGTGCATAGATTCTTTATGTTTTTTTTCCTTTTCTATATATAGGGTCGTTTTTCATTTTGAGAGAGGCATCAGCCAAAACTCTCTCTCTCTTGTAAATCTCACTCTCTCTCTATTGTAAGTACTATATTGTGTAATCAGTGTTGAAGTAAATAAAATCTCCAGTTCATCGCATTCCGACCTTAAGAGGTATTTATTTCTTTAGTTAATTAATACTTTAAATACATCGTTTCTCTCCCCACCCGTGACTATGTCCGGCTAAAAGATTCAGATCTATGTTGAATATCTAACTTCTCTTGCATATTAACCATGAATGATATGGCCTCTATCAAAATATAAATTTTTTTTAATATAGTTTCTTGGCTTGGTTCCAAGATGGTGGTATAGTCGAATCTAGTACTACTCTTATTGGCTTTACCTTTGTGGCTCCGTCTAGCAAGCCGTGAACCTAAAGCCAGCTAAAGATGTTAAAGGGAATCATCTTTTACGGTTAGAACTGCTAGACACATGGGCTCAATAAGAGTATGTATTAGATCCAGACATGCCCCTTGCTTGGGTAAAACGATAGATCCTTCCACACAATCATAAAGCTCTATAAAAATTCTTGTATATTTTGATTTTTATATCCTTATGTGGACTGTGTTCAAAAGTGAAGCCGCCGAGGACCCCACTCAACAGTAGATACATTGTTTACACAGTAGAAACACTGTATACACAGTAAGTACACTGTGTAAGGGACCCACATATGGGACCCACTTTACTGTGCATAGATTCTTTATGTTTTTTTTTCCTTTTCTATATATAGGGTCGTTTTTCATTTTGAGAGAGGCATAAGCCAAAACTCTCTCTCTCTCTTGTAAATCTCACTCTCTTTCTATTGTAAGTACTATCTTGTGTAATCAGCGTTGAAGTAAATAAAATCTCCAGTTTATCGCATTCCAGCCTTAAGAGGTATTTATTTCTTTAGTTAATTAATACTTTAACTACTCCGTTTTTCTCCCCAGCCGTGACTATGTCAGGCTAAAAGATTCATATCTATATTGAATATCTAACTTCTCTTGCATATTAACCATGAAAGATCTGGCCTCTATCAAAATATAAAAGAATTTTAATATAGTTTCTTGGCTTGGTTCCAAGATGGTGGTACAGTCGAATCTAGTACTACTCTTATTGGCTTTGCCTTTGTGGCTCCGTCTAGCAAGCCGTGAACCTAAAGCACGCTAAAGATGTTAAAGGGCATCATCTTTCACAGTTAAAACCGCTAGACACATGGGCTCAATAAGAGTATGTATTAGATCCAGACAGGCCCCTTGCTTGGGTAAAAGGATAGATCCTTCCATACAGTCATAAAGCTCTATAAAAATTCTTGTATATTTCGGTTCTTATATCCTTATGTGGACTGTGTTCAACAGTAAAGCCGCCGAGGACCCCACTCAACAGTAGATACAGTGTTTACACAGTAGAAACACTGTATACACAGTAGAAATACTGTATGCACAGTAAATACACTGTGTAAGGGATCTACATATGGGACCCACTTTACTGTGCATAGATTCTTTATGTTTTTTTTCCTTTTCTATATATAGGGCCGTTTTTCATTTTGAGAGAGGCAGCAGCCAAAACTCTCTCTCTCTTGTATATATCACTCTCTCTCTATTGTAAGTACTATCTTGTGTAATCAGCGTTGAAGTAAATAAAATCTCTAGTTCATCGCATTCAGGCCTTGCATTCCGGCCTTAAGAGGTATTTATTTCTTTAGTTAATTAATACTTTAAAGACTTCGTTTCTCTCCCCAGCCGTGACTATGTCCGGCTAAAAGATTCATATCTATGTTGAATATCTAACTTCTCTTGTATATTAACCATGAAAGATCTGGCCTCTATCAAAATATAAAAGAATTTTAATATAGGTTCTTGGCTTGGTTCCAAGATGGTGGTACAGTCGAATCTAGTACTACTCTTATTGGCTTTGCCTTTGTGGCTCCGTCTAGCAAGCCGTGAACCTAAAGCCCGCTAAAGATGTTAAAGGGCATCATCTTTTACGGTTAGAACCGCTAGACACATGGGCTCAATAAGAGTATGTATTAGATTCAGACATGCCCCTTGCTTGGGTAAAAGGATAGATCCTTCCATACAGTCATAAAGCTCTATAAAAATTATTGTATATTTCGGTTCTTATATCCTTATATGGACTGTGATCAACAGTGAAGCCGCCGAGGACCTCACTCAACAGTAGATACATTGTTTACACAGTAGAAACACTGTATACATAGTAGTTACACTGTATGCATAGTAAATACACAGTGTAAGGGACCCACATATGGGACCCACTTTACTGTGCATAGATTCTTTATATTTTTTTTTCCTTTTCTATATATAGGGTCGTTTTTCATTTTGAGAGAGGCATCAGCCAAAACTCTCTCTCTCTCTCTCTTGTAAATATCACTCTCTCTTTATTGTAAGTACTATCTTGTGTAATCAGTGTTGAAGTAAATAAAATCTCCAGTTCATCGCATTCCGGCCTTAAGAGGTATTTATATCTTCAGTTAATTAATACTTTAAATACTTCATTTCTCTCCCCAGCTGTGACTATTTCCGGCTAAAAGATTCATATCTATGTTGAATATCTAACTTCTCTTGCATATTAACCATGAAAGATCTGGCCTCTATCAAAATATAAAAGAATTTTAATATAGTTTCTTGGCTTGGTTCCAAGATGGTGGTACAGTCGTATCTAGTACTACTCTTATTGGCTTTGCCTTTGTGGCTCCGTCTAGCAAGCCGTGAACCTAAAGTCCGCTAAAGATGTTAAAGGGCATCATCTTTCACGGTTGAAACCGCTAGATACATGGGCTCAATAAGAGTATGTATTAGATCGAGACAGGCCCCTTGTTTGGGTAAAATGATAGATCCTTCCATACAGTCATAAAGCTCTATAAAAATTCTAGTATATTTCAGTTCTTATATTCTTATTGGCCGAGCGGACTACCGTCAACCTTTAAAATTAAGGGTACTAAATTTAGCTAGATCATACTGGCCGTGCGGATTACCGCCAGCCTACTCGATCCTATTAAAATGGTATCAAAGCCTAGAAACTGTCATGGTAAATATGTGATAGATCTGAAGTATTCGACATGGATATGTTTTTGAAATGGATTTGGGAGAAACAAGTACTAAAAGTACTAGACTTGAAGAGGTTGATATATCTCAAAACCTTAATTTGTTAAACAAATGGACAATTCCTAAAGTCTCTATTAAAATAATCTATGATTATGGTTGGTTTGATAAACTATCTTCAAAATAATTAATAAAAACAACTGAACAGTCTTTAGCTTTAAATTCGTCAGAACAGACTATTCGTTTATTAAATAAACATGATGTTAATTTATATAAAAATCATTATAATTATTTGCATATTTGTATGGTTCAAATTGCTTTTAAACTATTAACCCTTAAAGGGTTACCATAGACATTTTTAGCGGCTCTTAGAGATGCTAGAAATTTGAATTTTAGACAATCTCTGATGGGTTCGATTGAATCTATTGTGGCCTATGGTCCAGTATATTTTAATACTCAACCCAATCTTCAATTATCTCTTTCTAATGTTAATATACTTGATGCTTTAACATTAAATGTGAAAACGCATGGTTATAATTATGCACCTGGTTCTGAACTTCTATGTTTATCTTACGTAATTTATTTCAAATTATTGTCCACATTAAATCCAAGATGTAAATTATATGATACATCTGATCAGACTATACTGGTGGAAACCAATTTTGCTAAGTCTAAGGTCATCACGAGGAGACCTATTAAGTGGGAAGAAATTAATTTTCCAACTACTTGGACTTTAGATTCGGTTATATCCCCAAGTCAGATCACTAATGCTGTGTCAAATAGTGAATTTTCGCATGTTACTCAAAGTCCGGATGGTAGGATTTGTATTCAATTTGATGATAATTCTACTATTTATAACAGACATTCATTTTCTAATCATAGACTTTTACCTGCTATTCAACATATTTCTCCTGTTGAACCAGTCTATGGACCAGCTCGAAATCGTGCTGCATCTTTGCACACTATTTCTACTAAATTTAGTGATAAGCCTGTTGAAAGGGTTAAAATTAACCCTCAAACAAACATTGTTCAAGATAATAATAATATTTCTGATAAGGATATTCCTTCTGCATCCGAAATGGATCTCAACCCCAATGATGTTTAATGATTCCACACCAAATCGATTTTAGTCCAGGGTCACTGGCAAGAAATTATATTAAAAAAGATTTCTTTAGTAATAAATAGAACCGGTTTAAAACTTGGTTTTTTGATACTTATAGTAAAGAAGATTTAAATAATATTTCTCAAGAGTTTTATGAAACTTGTGCTTTACATAATCAAATTATGTATTTTGTTCCTTGATTTATAACCACTTATTTACCGCTATACATAAAGGTTTTAGAAAGATCTTATAAAGATGGGAGTGGTAATATTACTAAAACTATATACCCACCTCAAGCACCTTTTATTTTACCTAATAATACAGGTATTATGTTTACTACATTCCAAAAATTTGTTAAACATATATTTAACAGATTTGGTTAAAATCTTTGTTAAACATATATTTAACAGATTGAGCATCAGTTTTTATTAAAAACTTTTGATTGTATAAATCATCCTGAAATTTTAAAATACATTTAATAATAGTCAACATTTCATGAGCCACAGTAGCATATTTTTTCTGGGCTTCAGTCCATTTTCCCGAGTAAAATATTATCAAATATTCACAATTATTATTGGGATTAACTTGTTTTAAAATCCCACCATAGCCAATATTAGACGCATCTGTCTCAATAATTTTTTGCCATGCTGGATTAGCAAGAGTTAAACAAGGTAAAGACTTAACACGTTATTTAATATTTTTAACCAAAGTAGTATGACTATCAGTCCAAGGTTTTTTATAATTCCTTTTTAGCCTGTCGTATAAAGGGGCCAAATCACGAGATAAATTTTTATAGAATGGGGATATATAATTTAAAACTTCCCAAAAATCTTTGTAATTGAGTTCTGTCAGTAATAACATCAGGAAATTTTGATGCAAAATCAATCGATCTTTGAATAGGAGTAATTTTTCCTTGACAAATATTATGTCCTAAAAATCGAACATCTGTTTGAAATAAACTCATTTTTGGTTTGGAAATAACTAAACCATTTTGTATAACAATCTTTTTAAAAATATCAAGATGCTTAATATGCATTTCAAATATTTTAGAAAATAGTGATATGTCATCAATATAAATGATGATAAAATCTAAATATGGATTAAAAATATCATTCATTATTTTCTGAAATTCAGAAGGGGAATTTTTCAAACCAAAAGGCATAACATTCCATTCATATTGCCTGAATGGAACATTAAAATCAGTTCTATAAGTATGCTCTTTAAATATTTGAATATGCCAATAACCAGATTTTAAATCAAACTTTGAAAATATATTGGTATCATATAATCTTGATAACAAGTCCTTTTTTTTGGGGATAGGATACCTAATCCATTTTAAATATGTATTCAAAGGTTTATAATTTATAACCAATCTAGGAACGCCATGTTCCTTTTCTGCAGCATTATTTACATAAAAAGCGGTACAAGACCAAGGAGATTTTGAAGGTTTTATCAAACCTTTTTGTAACAAAGTATCCATTTCTTTTTTGCAGAATTCTACCAATTCAGCGTTCATCTGACAAGGTCGAGATTTAGTAGGGATATCACCTTCAGAAAAATTATCTTCATATGGAAGAGTGGCAATATGCTTTTTCCGATTCCAAAGAGCACTAGGATGATCAACACAAATATCAATAGCAATTTGTGCAGAAATCAATTTAATCTTTTCCTGTACTTTAGTGGATTTTAAAGTATCAAATATATTCATACTAAATAATTTCAATTGCAAAGAATCAATATGTTTTTGCTTCATATCTATTAAAGCATTAATATCCCTAGTTACGGGATCTGTAACAAAAGTATAACTTATTTTTTTATCTTTATAAGTTGCTGTAAATCCTTTAGAATCTATGCTAGTAAAAGGATAAATAGCGTTGATAAAAGGTGTTCCAAGTATAATTGGAGGGTATAACTGGTTTTTAACAAAGAAAAAGAAGTGAGGAATGCAGACTTTATTTTGACAAATACGTGTATTTGGTAATTTATACTTTATATCTAAAGCATGACCAAATGAAGATTTAACCATATGAGTGGTTTTTTGAAAATATTTAGTAGGTACTAACCCTTCTTGAATGCAGCTAACATCAGCTCCACTATCAATCATAGCAATATCAGTTATGGAAAAACTATTATCAATTTAAATAGTACATTTAATATACCATTTATGAGCAGTAATAATTTGCATCATCCCTAAAAATATATCATGTATAGGATTAATATCAATAGGTTTTTCATTATCCTCATTTTCAGAAATACCTTTATTTTGGTCATTAGATAACTCAGCTAGGGAATTATTTTTATTATTACGTCGGTTATTAACTTCTGACAAAGAATAAGGTGTTGAATATTCAAATTCGTTCTTTTGTTTTTCAAAAGATTTTAATGAACTAGAACTTGAACTTGCAGCCAAATTTATAATTTTTTCACGAAGTTTATCATCAGTCACTCCTTTTAAAAGTTCTATTACATTATCAGATGTAATAGTTTTCATGTTCAAATCTTGAAATTAAGATTGTAATTTATAAAATTCATCATCATCACAAGTACATGTATTACCTTTGCGAATTGTACAAGAATTATTAATATTTTTATCACTATCAGATAAATCAAGTAAATCGACCTCAGCTTCAGATTCTGACTCAGAATTATAATCAGATTCTGATCTAGAAGTGTATAACAAGCTATAAACCTTAACACGTAACTCATCGTCTAGTTCTAAGGTTTTCAACTTTTGAAGCTTACAATTTGGGGCTATATGGCCAAAATTTCCACATTTATAACACTTAATATCAACAAGATCTCGCTTAGACCTATTTTTCGTAAATCTAGTAGACTTGCGATGGGCTTTCCTAGTTTCAAGCTCTTCTTTGGATCTATATCTCGATCTCTTTTTCTTATAAGGGTTGTCAGGGTTAGGATATCTATGATACCTATTTTTCTTTTTATTGATATGAGCAGAAGTCTCGGGTAAACCGAACTGGGTGCAAAAGTCTCCTAATTGAGATTTCTCCTTAAGCTTATCTATCTTAAGCTGTCTAGACAATTTCAACTCATTACACAAGTTTAATCCTTCTTGTGTGCAAACTCCTATCAGTTTTCCATAGGTATAATCCTTATACGGAATTTCACCATAGCTACCCCTTAGAGTTTTTCTTACTCTTTCAGCAAATAAAGAGGGAAGGCCATCTATAAACTTAGCTTTCCAATGTTCATACTTATTTTCGGGTAATTCCATAACTCTACTCATAAAGGTATCTTTATACCATCTGAATTCACTAAGGGTTCTACATCTAATATCATTCAAAAGGGTACGAACAGTCTCATACTGATTGGTAAATCTACCATTGAAGTGTTCTAGTATGGTAAGAATAAGGTTATAAACAACATCTTCTCTATTTTTTACTAGAGCCATGCCTAAGTTATCAACTCCTTCATCAGTGGCTATTGCATTAATAACCGAAGCCTTTTCCTCAACAGTTAAATAATTATCCCACCAGCCACGAAGTTGGCCAGTAAAACCTGCAATAATCATTTTGCAAATAGTTTTATCTATATTTTTTTACACTTTTACAGATAGTTGTATACATAAGCATTCTATGCACAAGAATAGTCAATTGTTTATCAGTCAAACCATCAAGATTCTATTCATAAATTTCGGAACCACTGTAAGACGTATTAGTCTGATTCCAATCACGTTCCTCTATTAAGACATCTTGAGGAGTAGGATGGGAATAATAATAAGTTTGCATTCTGGGTTTATTAGCATACTTACTATTTGGTTTAATAAAACCTTTGAGTTTATTAAACTCTGACCAAGTTTCATTTTTATAATCAGAAATAGTTTCAATTTTATCAGCAAATTTTTTTGATAAATCAATTGGCTTAATATTTAAACTAGAAAGCTTTTTATCAAAAAGTTCTTCCAAATCATTAAATGATTTAAATTTGAAATCCTGAATCTCAGGAGGTCTTTGAACATGAGTAAGAACAATTTGAGCATCTGATTTGCTTCCTGAAGTGGAGGCAATATCAGTTATCTTCTTGCTAGTACTCATTTCTTTTATCAAAACTGTTAATTCATCAAGTTTTTTATCAAGAGAACTGATATGTTCACCCAAATCTTTAACATACAAACTTAAATAATTATTTTGAGAAATTAAATTATTAATTCTACGATGCTGCCTGCACCAACATTTTCATTAATAAATTTTTGGAATGCAGTAAACGTAATACCTGTATTATTAGATAAAATAAAAGGTGCTTGAGGTGGGTAAATAGCTTTAGTAATTTAGTAATATTTAATAATAATAATAATAATAATAATAATAATAATCCTCAGATACCACATATAGAATCTTGAACCCATTAGAACATTCTTGAGAGTCACCCACTCTGTCCTAGTCCAGAATAACTTAATCAATTTCAAAATAGCCCCTTGTTGTTGCTGTTGCTGTTGTTGTTGTTGTTGTTGTTGTTATTGTTGCTGTTGTTGTTGTTGCAGTTGTTGTTGTTGTTGCTGTTGTTGCTATTGCTGCTGTTGTTGTTGTTGTTGTTGTTGTTGTTGTTGTTGTTATTGTTGTTGTTGTTGTTGTTGCTGTTGTTGCTGTTGTTGTTGTTGCTGTTGTTGTTGTTGTTGTTGTTGTTGTTGTTGTTGTTGTTGCTATTGTTGCTGTTGTTGTTTTTGTTG